AACTGGGAGACTCAGTGCAAAGCTGTGCTGCAGACAAACCGGGTTCAAAAACATACAAATCTCTGCTCTCCCTCTCTGTGGATGCCCAACGAGGAGATCTTGGTCCCCTTCCACTACAAACCTGCACAGCCCGAAGCCCACGGGAGCCAGAGCTGAGAACAGCCTGCATGCTTACCCCCTTCCTGCCTTCCTCCACGCTGGAGCTCTCCTGCTTTTCTCCGTTCATCTCTATTTTGGTGTTTGAATTGCAGATGCTGAGTCCAGACTTTTATAGCCTAAACAGACGACACAGGGGATGGAAACACCCTCCTTGGAAAGGAAACCTGCCCCGTGACGTTGAAGGAAGTGCCCAATCGATGGCCAGCTCTATCTGCCAGTCAGTAGATGTTTGTTGGGTCATTTCCCAATCCCGTGTGTCTTCTCCTGCACATCTCCTCTCCCTTTTTCTTGCCGAATGTCACCAATGTCAGATGTGCTTGGGCCAGATCCAGACTCAAAGCAGAGCCAGCTGTAGGGGAAGCAGCCTCATCTCTCCAGAAGGAGGGTGGACTTCTGGCCAAGGCTTCCAGAGGTGCCGTTCCCCAGCGCTGGCGTGCACAGCAAACTGACAGCAGGAGATCTGTTGTTCACTGCAGCCACTGCCTGGCAACCGTGTTCCAGCAAAAATAGAACATTCCATGGAACCTCAAAGAGGGCTTTTGCCATGGGTCAGCGATAACCCTGAGCTGCACTAACCCTGCAGCCAGGTTGCACACCTCTACTCCCCGGCAGAAATACCAAACCTGGTCTCACCCTGCAGAGCAGCTGGCTCTTGGCACAGCTGCAGAGTGCAGGTTCCTCCTTCTTGGGTTCGTTCTTGACAGTGCACAGAACATGCTGCTTTTTACATCAAAGCATAGCGGTTGCTTTCCTGCTCTGTGCAAGGTGCACCATGCTGCTGGCACAGCATTAGCCTCCTACACGAGGAGACTACCTACAGCAGTCCAGGACTTAGTTAACCATTAACTACAACTCTTAGAGTTCATCAGCACAATACAAAGTTCACAGATACCCCTGGCAGCCAGAGTAACTAAAACCAAACCACATTATTGGCCCTGCTGTCTTTAACACACAGTTAAAAAAATGCCAATCTCGAGCCAGACACGCTTCATGCGTCCTGCATGCATTCCTCAGCTGGCTGCAGCATCCCCACCTGATGAAGGCATCAGGTACACAATCTACTCAGCGTATTTCCTTTGTCCTTGATTACCTTTTTGCATTCATTAGTAATATTACTGGATAGATCTTTTAAAGGGCAAAGAACACGCAATAGAAATAGTGAGGGCTCAGCAGGAGCAAAGCCAGGCACTGCTTCCTATAGGTGTACTTGCCAAAGCTGCTTATGTAAACGTTCAGTCGGCAGTAGGAAGTGATACATGTGGCCTTGTATTTGCAGGGCAGGGTGGACTAACTGGCTGTCAGCTCTTACTGTAAGCAAAGCTTAGAAACTGGCAAGACTCTAAAAATGGACAGGGGAACAGAGCCCTTCTGCTTCAGGGCAGGGAACACAGTTCCAAGACTTCTGCCATTCATCCCTTCCTCGACTTGTCGTAATACGACGACCTCCACAACGCTGTTTGGTCACATTTTGTGACAAGTAGAATCATAGAATAACCCAGGTTGGAAGGGACTCACAAAAGCCAAGTCAATAATCTTCTTATGGAAACTGTCCTCAGTGGCTCACATCAAGAACACTCCTGGATCCTTCAGAATCCTGCTCCATGCTCCCACATATCTATCCCTTGGGGTTTTAGCTGTACAGAGATGCAAAGGATATCCATTGCACCAACAACTCTCACCCAGCCTCAGTGTTCCCACTGGGGATCTGCAGCCAGCAGGTACTAACAGCAATACTGAAGGAGCTGTTACCATCCTGCCTTCAAACATTGTTCAAAGAGTCCCAAAATAAATGGGCCAGCTTACAGCAGCTATCGTAGTTCTCACTTTCATAGATCTTTAGTTAGAAGAAGGCAATGACAAGTGAGTTATTCTGCCTCAAGGGTGGCGAATTTGCAAGGAGGACAAACCTCTCACAAAAAATCCCTGCCCTTTGAAGAGTGCCGTTCTTCCGGGAGCTCTGGGCAGGCTGACAGCTACTCCAATATTTGGTAATTGTGAAACAGAAGACTTTTCTGCCATGGTTTTTAAACCCTTTCCCTGAGCTTAAAGAAATAACCTTGACATAGATGGAAATAAAAAAGAAGATGCATTTGCCATCAGAAGTTCTTCATCAGAGCATAAATATTTGCTTATGACAGCAGAATGCTTTGAGTATTTGCCAATCACAGCAAGAGCCAGGCAGCATCATCCCTAAGGTGCCCATCAGCATCAAGCTTGGGAGATGTCAATGAAGGGAGACAGGATGGGGAGCAAATCTCCTTGAACTTTCACAGTAATTGCAGGGCAATAACTGCTGCCTCCAACTGCTCAGATTGTTGGACTTGAGCAAAGAGCAGAGCCAGCACCAAGAGAGCCAACTTCATAGGAATTTTACTATCACATTTCTCTCAGCAAATCACCTGCCAGGCAGTGGCTGCCAGAACTCAGTGCGTTTGCCTGAAGGCATTAACCCAGCACTGCTATTTTCTCTCCTCTGCACTTGTCCACTGCATCCTCAGGGCTCCCATGCCAGCATGCAGGAACTGTTCACACCCAGCTCACAGCCAAACCCTACAACATCCTGTTATCTCTGCCAAAAGGGGAGCAAATATAATTAAAAGATGAGGCTTACCTGCCAGGAGAGTCAATCTGCTGACAACATATGCAGTTAAGAACAGCAGCAGCAAGCCGTGGAAAAGCTGCCATTAGGCTGGGAGCTGCAGTGCCTGGGGTAAGGAGTCTCATTAGGAGGCACTCCAACAGCACAGCCTGTCCATGAGTGACACGGGCAGCTCTTTCACTCACAGTTTGGGAAGGAACTGTATGTATAGAAGGGGAAAGGCAACACCACACGTAGTCTCGAGCTACAGCTGGAGCCTCAAAGTGAGACGTAATTTAGCAAACAAGTTATTTACCTGCAAACAAGTCACATACAGATACTGCTTTATTAGCTGTGAAGTGGCTTCTGGACAGGTAAGCAAGACGTAGGCATGGCAGTCTGAACATCTATCAACAGTAAAAGCAGATCCTGGATAAAACAGGCCCATTTTGCAGATAATAGCAGCACACAAGAAGTTCTGCAACTAGGAGGCAAGCAAGACGCTACCCTGGCTGCAGAAAGGCAATACTGGGAGGCATCCTGCCAGCTTTCTTCCTTTTCCACAGCAACTGTCAGATAACCTCAGAAGAGCCTCAGCCACACACACATCCCCCAGACAAGAACAGAGGGGCAGGCAGATCTGTGAACTTACTGGATTAAGCCCTGATAGCTTGCTCTGAGAACTGCCCAGTCCTTTCTCCACTGGCATGATTGTCTGCTGAAGCAGATGTTTCAGAAAGTGTTGGAATGCTTGCATATTAAAGCTCCATCTGCACTTCGTTCCGCAGAAGCGCCTGACTGCCCAAATGCCCGCGGTGCCCTCTTGAACTTCAGTGGGTTTGCATTTCTGTGCAGGACAGAAGCATGGTTTTGCCAGCCAAGACTTGTCTTTTGCCACCTTGTGCCACTGCATCCAATTCTATGGCTCCCTGCAGGTTTGCATGGATGAGAGTTTTTATCCTCTCCTTACAACCACCCCAAGTCATCTTCATCTTTTGCCTGGTTGCCTTCCAGCTCCTTTTGTTTAACAAGCTCTGCTCTCTGCAGCCCTTTCCTTCCTTCTCCTCACCAGGCTCCACTCCTCCAGTCCGTAGCAGGCAGACAACACACTCCACACCTACAGCTCTTTCCATCTTGAGATCTTCAAAGCCATTCTGCAAACTTCTAAGACCCCCAGAAGAGCTGGTGGAAGCCAGCACGCAACTCCTGCCCTGCATTCTAACACCAAGGCCAGGTCTCTGCGTTGGAGCAGCTGAGCAGAGGAGCTCCAAGGGGCAAAGTCACAGCAGTATTTAGGATAAATTAACTAAAAGACAACCCTTGAAGTGCAAACTAACATTTTTTTCAAAGCCTTGTAGACACAAGGCAGAGCGTTGTCAGCAAATCCGTCTGACAGAGCAGCCAAAATACTGCAAGGAGCTGCCTATCACTTCTAACACTGCAGAATAAACAAGCTTCCCTCTGCTTGCTCTCTGCAGCATCTGGACTCATTTCCTCGCCGGCCCTGCAGCAGGCCTCTAGCAGAGAACATTTATGGATCAATTTGGGGTACAATTCTAAGCCACAGAAAAGCAAGTATCTCAGATGGGAAGCATTGTGCAACCCTAGAAACAGACAGAGTTGCTCAATCAGTTGTAAAAATAGTCATAGGCTTGCAGCACTGCTTGCACTGGGGCTCAGCTCCTCCCAGTCCTGTGAGATGGATGAAGTTTTCAGCCAAGAAAAGCTCTGTCACTGCTTGGAGTGCATACAACTTACACAGCATTGCTCAGCTGACAGCCTGCCCCTTTTTTTTTCATAAAAATCTGAATTTCTCTATTTGGGCAAGGCCTGGGAAAGCTCCAGCTCTCACCAGCATTAGCCCCACATACTTTACAGCATAACCTCACATGGAGGAAATTCAATTTGTATTTTCATGATTAGATAATGTTCGTAATCTTGCATAGCTGAAGAGCCACAGCCCATAAGGTCAACAGCATGTACAGAAAGCAAGGCCCACACGCTTGGAGCTTATCACAGTTCTCAGCAATCGTCCAGTGGGAATCAATAGTGCAGAGTGGTGAACAGGTTGCTCAAAAAGATCGGAAAGGCTTTGTATGCTATGCACACAAAAGAGATATGAAGAGACATTTGTCTACACAGACACAAGAGATTTGTCCTCCAGCACAACCGTGAAGGTACACACAAGAAACCTGAAGAAAGACCTTGGATCCATATTCTTCATGGCCCTGAAAGGCCCACCACAACACGCTTGAACAACACCTTGGTAAAGAAACACAACTTTATTTTGTAGAAGTTGGAGAAAATATTTTAAAAAAACACAAGCAAGGAGTTGTCAATAGGTTCAAACAGCACCTGCAAACAGCAAACAACAAGCTGACCCTTCCCAGCTCTGATCCGGCACCCACATGCCAAGAACAGAGCACAGCAGATGCACCCTCCCTGCTGTGAGAAGACACCCAGATGCCCCCAGAGTTCAGACGCCCCCAGCAGGCAGTAAGCATGCAGCCACCACAAACCCTGGGAACAACCCGTGGCCACTGAGAAGGAGGAACAAAGCATGAAGAGGAACCATCCATCTCCACCACAAACCGATGTCTGTCCATGTTCAAGTGAAGAGTGTGAGCCAGGCCAGAGCTCCCCAGCAGAGCTCACACATGAGGACTGGAACCCACACCCAGGGCAGTCCTATTCAGCAGCAACTAAAGTTTCCCTACACCCACATTCATTCACCCCAGAACTCACAACACATTTGTCCCGTCAGACTGAAAAGCCAAACTCCAAACAATTTAAGATGTATGGTGGAACGAGAGGAGAAGGAGGGAAGAAAAACCAGGAAGCTGGAAGGAGCCACAAAGTATCTTCCAGAGGATCCTGAGCAAAGTCCAAGACTGCAGCAGCAGGGATGGGAACCCACAGCAGTGGGACATCTTCACTGTACTCAGCCGCTCCAGCAGTGCTTTTCCCCAGGCTTTAGCTCCCCCTGTGGGGCTCGGGGATGATCCCACACCTACACGAAATGAAGAACAGTTAAAACCCAGCACTTCACCTGAGCCAGGACAACAGGCTGGAACTCGAGGGGCATCCCCTGCAGCAGCTGAAAACAGGTATGGAGGATCCATTCCTAAAGCACAGCCAGGTTCCCCAAGCTCAGCCACCTTCACAACTAGCTCAGAAAAGAACTGCTCCAGTCCAGATTTGATGGAAGATCTAAGTCATCTTCATGGGCTCCTGATGCAGGGGACACTGCCCCAGCCCCTTCCCTGCCTGTGCACTTAGAACCAAAGGGGACCTGCCAGGAGCAGCCAAGTATTTCTACAATCCCATCTCCAGACCTTCCTCACCAAACTTACCCCCCATCCCACCACCATGCTTTGCTGTAATCAGCTTCAGTGATGAACTAAAGACACCAGGAGGAGCTTCTCTGTTGGCTGCATCTCTTTCCCCGGCTGATGTACAAGAGGGCTTAAATACATTCATGTCTTAATCAAGAGAATGCTAAGTTTTCACTCAGAATAAGAGACTAGCCTACTCCCATGAGCTCACTGTATCATTCAGCTGTTTTGCATGTTGTTAACATAACTAAAATTAAGCTAACAAGAGTAGAGTTTGAACAGTTGGGTGCTGGGAGCAGCGGGAGCCTGACAGCTGCCCTCTCTCCCCAGGCAGTTCATGAGAAATGAGTTCATTTCTGCAAATGTTTGCTATAGAAAATACAAACAATTGTGTGTTTTTTTGGCTTTTTTTTCATTAAAAATCTGCCTTCTTGTTTTCCTCTAGGTTTTGTGGTCTAGAAGTAACAGAAATAGGAGTATGTGAGAGGATGGCTTACAGAGCTGGGAGCCTTCAGCCTTCTCTCTAGGAGTCTGGGCAGCCCAGCTTAATGCTTACCAAAACAAGGGCATCACACAGCATCGATGTATGTACCTGAAACCACAAAGAACTGCTGCCAGGTTTCTGTTTCTGCACACTTCCTACATAAGCTTGGAGGAGTCACTGATCCTCTGCCTCCCTGTTACAGTAAAGGCATTGCATTACCACACTTGGGGCACTAAATACATCTCAACTGTATAGTAGAGAAGAGATGCATGCATGGCGTGTGAGTTCAAGAGCAGTCCCACAGTCCCTTTTTCTCCCTCTGCCAACTGCTGTTTCCCAACCCCTTGCATTGGATCATGAAGCAGTGCACAGGCAGGTTACCCAGCAGGATGGAATCAGTGTCAAGACACAGGCAGATGAGGTTCAGGTTCTGGGCAGCAGGGGCTTCGTCTGCTCGGGGTCTGGCACGTCCTCACTCTTAGCAGGGTCTGCGTGCTGCCGGCTGCTGCTCGAGCTTCGCCAAGGCCAACCCACATCATCGTGGTGACAACAGCAAATGGAGGACAGCAGCCGAGCTCGGACCACACGCGTGCAGAGGACAAACATGATACAGTTGGCACCTCCTTGAAACGTGTTTCCAATTCCCTGCAAGGGCAAGAAAGGAATTAAGCAGTGCTATTCCTACTGGCACTTCCAAGAGAAGAATGCATGTCTGGGCAGACCAGCTGCAGTACTGTGAGTCAGCAACTTCAATCTACAAGAGGAAAACATCAAGGAAACTACAGCCTTGCATCTGAAAGCAGCACAGACTGCTGCAGACAAGCATCCAGTGCTGCTGCTCTAAGTCTGCTTCCCTTCTCCTGGCAGCAGCCACACCGCTTGCAGCTACACTCAGTGCCCACTAGATGATGCTGGAACAGCACTGCTGAGCATCCCAGAGCAGATGCTCTTGCCAGCCATTGCTGCATCCTGGCACAAAGCGTGTATTAAGAGCAACAGGAATTTATTCCCCTCCAAGATTTTCCTTCAAATGAATTGTCTCGACAATACTTACATGCAGGACAACCAGGACTGAATTTTGCACTGCAGGGGAGTTGCAGAGTGTCAGAATGAAGCGCACAGTGCTCCAGATGCGGAGGATGATGAAGATGACAGGGATGAGAATCAACTTCTTGTCTGCTGTGGAAGTCCATGGCTGAAGAGCAGGTGCACTTGAGAGAATGGGACGATACTCTAAGAGAGCTGCATGCTTTTGTGGAGACGGAAGAGAGACAGAAATGTGAACAAAAAGTGGAAAGCCCCTTGTGTGCATATTGTATGCCACCCCTATAGTAGCACTCTCACCATTTCCCAGGTTGTGCCAGAACCACCCCTGTAAAACCCATTAATAGAGCTCAAACCCAGTTCTGGCTGGTACTGCTCTTCCTTAAGAGCATGTTCTCCTCACAGGAAAAGGCTTCTCCAGTCCAGAAGGCCCTCTGTGCAGCTGCTCAGACACTGCTATGATCACTGAGAGTGGCTCTCAGCGCTGCTCCCACCAGGGTCAGACGGGGAGTGCGAAAGGGAGAGCAGAGCATGTCCCTGGCAGGGCAGGAGGGTGAGCCTTGCTGGTGAGGATCAGCTTTCCAGGCAGTCACATTGCTATCTTCGACAGCTGCTGGAACATTGAGTCCTGTCTGCTTTGTGTCTGCTGGCGGTGACAGGCACGAGCAAATCTGCCCCAGCTCCCCTGGAAAAGTTTGGGACTACAGTGGTCCTAGAGTTTGTCAGGGGGATCCTACCCTAACCAGAGCTGTGTTTGTCCGTTTTATCACTGCTATGGCTTCACCACATCAACAAGGTGTGCACTGGCAACATTTTTCAGTACATCTGATTTTGATGTTTTTTTGTTTGGTTAGGTAAGGCTAGGGCTTGGTGCAAGTGGAACTGTATGGATGACTGATTAGAATGTTGCCCTTCACACAGTTCCGATTCCCACTGCAGGATTCACATTTCATTCCATAACCCCTTAGGTTTTCAAGAGGTTTTCACATTCTTCCGGAGCAAAGTCACTGTGTAACGATGCTACCGGCTGCTGAATCAGCGGGGGATGTATTTCAGCAGTGTATGAAGCAATTCCTGTCCATATAGCTGCTAAAACACAGCAAAATGTTCAGAGCACCGGAGGATACAATCACATAATAAGCCTGTAACCTGAGCTGCAAGCAGCAAAGCACTCACCGCTCTATTGATGTGCCTTTTGATGAGGATATAGAGCACAGGCAAAGTCACGTAGGCCAGTATCTCCCAAACTTTCCCCGTCAGCAGCATCCACAGCACTCGATCCTCTGCATCCAAGTTGACCCAACACCAGCCCACAGAAACATTGGAAGCATCGTAGCCTATTTTCTTCAGAGCCACAGCTGCAATTGTAATGGCAAGGGGGACTCCCCAGCTGTGGAAAGAACAAGCAGCAGGGTCACACCGAGGACACACTCAGTGCAGTCCCCACACAGACTAGGAGAAACAGAGCACCAACACACCTGCATCAGGCCTAAGGGAAGTGACAGCAGCAAGCAAGTATTTGACAGCACATTCATGAGGAATGCAAGCCCATGCAGTCCCATTTCAAATTCACTGTAGGAACCTGGGTTCTCATCCCAGAGGACACACAAAGGAAAGAAACATAATGATGTTCCACAATGAGGACCAGAACCAGAACCCTGCCTGTGCAGCAAGCAGTCAGGGTGCAGCAAGACACGAGACATCCTGTCCACTCCTCCCATCCCCTTCTGGGGTGGCTCCAAGACTCAGCAAACCAGAGCACGGTGTAACGTGATCATCCTGCAGGACCCAGCAGTGCAGGAGCAAGCTGGCCCACTCACAGCTCTCAAAACATAAGCAGTCAAATCCTGCATTGGTTCCTAAGTGATGCTTGGCACAGGTGACAAAGAAATCTACCCTTTTATTCCATCATTTCTGCAATATTTGTTTTGTTACTGTTGGTGATGGTAGTGGTGTATTGATTTTTTTGTTGGCTTTAAAGGGGACATAGTAGATACTTCGACAGCAAAATAATAGTTTCTGAAGGACAAAGGGAGAATTGCTTGTTAGGGAAAGCACCAGTAACAGGATTTGAAGTAATTAAGCCAAGAGGAGCTAGTTTCACATTATTTGGAGCTGTGTTTTGACTTCAGCTTCTTTCCTGACAGCAGATGATAGTACAGGGAAGCATTTAGCAGAACAGTAGCAGTGCTGACACACATGGTTAATTCGCTCAGCATCTCGGGCTGCCCACAAGAAGCCATAAGCAAACACTTGAAATATTTCCCAAAGCCAAATGTAAAACACCCAAGCCCTTTTCCAGCTGCTGTGAATACCCAGGACTTCACAGTCCTGCCCTGGCCCATTACAGCTCACATCACCTCATGGCTGTAACACTGGCCTGCTCTCAGCTGAGCACACCTCCTGCCCTTCCCATATTCACCCTCCCAAAAAGCTTCTGCAGAGGCTTACAAGGCACAGTTTATCAATGGGTGAGAAACGCTTCAGAGAGCACAGACTGAGCTTCCAGCATGGTCCTCCCAGTCTCTCCAGATGCATGAAGGAAAAAAGAAATGCATTAAGAAACTAATTTGCTTAAATAATTATCTTTACAGCGACCTGAAAAAGAAAGAGAATGATACAGAAAGATAAAAGTGGGTCAAATTATTAAGTATAAACGTAAAAGAGAGGAGTGTGAGGACGTATAGACACATTAAGAGGCTACAGTATGGAACAGCAGACCTCACCAGCCAGTGAGGGTCTGAAAGAAACCACCAGAAATCAAGTGTCCAACCAGTATAAGGAAAATGGAGAACTGCCATACATCAGGAGCGTGATTTGTGCTTCCATTATCACTGCAGCAGCATATTGGGATCAGAAGGCTATCACAAGTACAAAGGATGACAAACTGAAAGGGAAGTTAGAAGGACTCTAGAGAAAAATCAGACATTTCAAGGAACTTCTTTATCTCCAGCTTATTTGGAAATGACTTAGCAAAGTAGAAAGGAGAACAGACTCATGATTAGGTTTTTCTTAAGAACCCCTAGAGAACAGCTTACTAATACTGGAAAATACCAGTGCTTCATACTGATCTAGCAGAATCAGATCTGTACACAATACACACACCCAAAGTATGCTTGAAGACTGGAATTAAAAGGATCCAAGACAGCACAAAGAGGCAGAAACTCTGCTTTGAGCCTCTAAAGATAATTACATATGCTGGGCCTGAGACCTAAATGCCATCAGTGTGGGAGATAAAAGGGAAAACAGGCTGCAACTCCATCCCCAAGGCAGACACAGCAGCACCCATTTCCCTCATGCAGCACCCCACATCTATTAATACAAACACATACAATCCAGCATCTCATTCCAGATTAACAAGCACTGCATTCATGCAAGTTAAGACAAGAACCCTTACATGGCAGCTGCTCACGGCTTAAAGCCTGCTGTTTTTCTTGCCCTCAGCATGCCTGGGGTCAGATTGCTGAACACCACATTTTGATTTACTCTGGACAGGTGCTTTTTTTTTTTTTCTCTCCCCCACCATTGGCTCTTGCATGCAGGAAAGATTTGCTGCTGTCAGCCAGCACAGGTCAGATCCTACAGCAACATGCAGGCACTTCCCACAGGGGAGCGGAGTTTTTGTTCTCCAAGAGAGAAAAGTCAGCTTCCAGAGATCCACGCTCAGCTCAGGAGGTTCAGGCACATGCTGTAAACACAACTGCAGACCAAACCTGCTCCAATTTCTGCATTTTTCCAACCCAAACATTAACTGGGTACCAAAGTACCACCTGCTGATATCAAATAGGCTCTTTTGAGAGCTGTTAGAAGCCGACAGCAGTGCACCAGGCAGCCTCCCTTCAGCTGGCTTTAGCACTGAGCTACAGCTTTTATAAACTAAAAGACAGAACCACCAAGAGATCTCTGCACCTGAGGCAAGACATAGGGACAGAAACAGCCCTCTGAGGTCTCAGACCCAAAAAGAGTCCTATGTACTCTCTCAATATTTATAAACACTTGTGGAGTCCTATCACAAAGCACAGACACTTCAGAGGTCAACAGCAATTGCTAAAAGCCAGCAGCAGTCCCAAGGTGTGATCTGCTCCCCTCCTCATGCTCAGTTTGGATCAGGTGCTCTCACAGCAAAGAAACCTTTACCCAACCAAGTGGTGCTTTGAGATTCAGAAACCAGAACAAGTGAGGCTGCCTGGAAACTTACCCTCTGGATCCCACAGTTTGCACCTTACAAGTATTATGAATATTTTCAAAGCAAACTGCAAATTTGTTTTCAAAGCTCATCTGAGCTCAACACAAATTTAAAACCAAAGTGAAGCCTGCAGTTGCCCTGTGTGGCTCTAGGAGAGGCAAATGCATTACCATGACTCGACTCAGCAAGGAACAAACCTGTTGATCAGGTTTCATCCTAGCAACGTGCTAATTTCCCTAAAAAAATTCCAGGTATTGACTTCCAGCAGATGTTTAGCTGGCTCTGCCCAGCTCTAAGAGCAAAGTGCTTGGTTATGCTCAGTGTCTGACACACACTCATTGCTACAAACACTCGCCCAGTGAGTAACTGCTGGTGAGGACTGAGAAGCTCACATCCAACAGAATCCTGTCCTGCCTCCCATCCCTCCCAGGCGTGTGTCTCAGCACAGCTCTTCACACAATGGTTGCTGTGTGACTGCACTGGCAACCTGCAAAGTGAGACAACAAGATTTTCCAGCCATAACCACAGAATCCTCCTGGCTGCATTCTGAAGCACTGGAACGTGTGGGGGCAGCCCCCATCACACACCATGCCCAGATTTTGTGTTTATGGCCAAGTTCTCAGGTAGTGATGGAAATACAGGGAAGGGGAAGGAGGATGAATCAGGAGGTAATGGGAAGAGGACAAGCCTGTGATGGTTTTCTCTGCTTTTCATATATCAAAAGGCAGAAAGATGCTCCAAACATCAGCTCTGTGCAGAAAGTGAGTTACTTACGAAGCAAAACCTGTTAATAGGGCTTACATGAAAGCTATGGATGCTGCCTTCTGAACGGAGCAAGCAGAGCTGAATAATACCTTCAGCTGAAGATGGCATTTTATTTTTACCATGAAGATCTGAAGGCAAACCTGGAAACTCACCAAGAAGCCCAAAGATGCTGAGCGACATTAAACCAGAGGGAGAAGTTTAAGCATCAACCAAGTTCACACAGTGAGTGATGAGCAGAAAGAAAATTAGATGTCAACATGAAAGCACCTTGGGCTTCCCCACATGCACATCTCACCAACAAGCAATGATTGCAACAGGAAGGGCAGAATTCAACCTTTCCTCCCAGATTCCCACCTCGCCTTGCTGTCTTGCACTGGCCCACCTTTACCAGGACTCAACTCTAATCCCATCAGCTCCCAAGCAGTGCAGTTGAAAATAAAAGGTGATATCCATTGAGAAGCAGACCAAAGAAAATGCACTGCTTTCCTTAATCTGATGCTTTTTTTCTTTTCCTTTAAACCCAATCGTTCCTCACACAACGTAGTGCAAAAGCCTGGCAGCACAGAGCACTGAGGGATCACTGTTTTGCTCAGCGCAGAGGTAGCACATGATTACCCAAGCTTAAATTGCATAATGAAGGCTTTTACTAAACACGATGTGGAAAATCAGCTCTCTGAACAGCAGAAACCAAGACACCGAGCTCCACTGTGGGCTGCTTTGTGTGCTTTCAATCAAATGTGCCAAAACAACCTTCCATGCTCTCCTTGCAGCATGTTGCTCATGGTTGATGCTCTCCCTGTAGTGCTGGGTTACAGCAATTGGCCGGGGATGGGGAGACAGACAGACTGACAGACTGCCTATGAGAGAAATATGGGAAACGGAGCTCAAGCAGAGCAGGGATTGCAAATAAGTTTGGGGTGTGATTGCTGGGATGTGAGAGGAGGCAGCGGAAGGGAAGAAGCCAGGATTTTGAGTCGCTGTCACACTTTTGTGTGCCTTTAAGCCAACTATTTGAACGTCTCCACGTCTTCCCTTGGATGCTGTAGTGGGGAATAAGCAGGGTAGGTTAGTTGGGAAGCAGCAAACCCCACATTCCAAAGGAATTCGAGGAAGGCACCATATCCCTCAAGAGTGAGCAGGGGCCCGCAGGACCCACAGCACCCACCTCACGATGTGGAAGCAGCAGAGCAAACCCGCACCCGTGGGCGAGCCCCTCACAATGGTGACATAGAGGTAGAGGGCAATGGCCACGGTCCAGAAGAAGGAGCTGGTGTTGGAGAAGGTGGACAGGGCACCCTGCAGCACGCAGTCCCACGAGGTCCTGTCGAAGTCCTGCAGCACCCCGTAGAAATAAGAGAGGGCGGAGAGGAGGTCGGCCAACGAGAGGTAGAGCAGGAGCTCCCGGGGACGGGTCCGCAGCTCCGGCCACAGGGCGTGGGTGCCCACCAGGAGCCCGGAGCCCAGCGACGACAGCACGCACGAGGTCAGCACCGCCGCCCGCTCCGCCGCGTACAGCTGCGTGGGGGGCAGCGGCTGGGGCATGCCGGGCTGCGGCGGCGGGCGGCGGGCAGTGCGGGGAAAGAGAGGGAGGAGGGCGGCGGGGAGGGAGGGAGGAGGGCCGGAGGAGGGCCGGGAGCGGCGGAGCGCCCGCCCCGCCCCCGGGAAGCCCGCAGCCGGCTCGTTTCGTTCATACAAAGCCCAAAGCTGCACGGGGCGGTTCTGCGATGCGCCCACCCGGATCGACCGCAACAAACCATCGCCTCGAACCATTCCTCGATTCCCTCGATTTCAGCTTGGGTTCCAGAGGGGATCGGTACTGCTCTGTGCCTCGCTCCCTAACACGGCTTAATCCTTTTCTGGAGAGCGGCAGAGCACCCCAGCGCTAATTTTAACGCGGTTTATTCTGACCCGTGGAACCTGATGTCTCACCTCCCCCCGGCTTCTCTCAGCAACCAGAACCCATCCACCAGGCACATCCATCTCTGACAGAAAGATCTTCCAAAACAAGTTCAGCATTTGCATATTGCTTTCTGCCACTGAGCGCTTTCAGTTTTACATCCCCATCTTCCAAACTTAGAAGGGGCTCCGCAACGTTTTATTTCTTGTATTTTGACCAGTTCTGCATTAAGAACTTTACATCTGAGTTTTTCAGGGTGACTAGGAGTGAACTGCTTTCTTTTTTTATGATTATTTTTTGCACTATTGGCATTTTCCTGCACTGTCCAAACCCATTGCTTCTGCTCCAGATCCACATCCAAGGAAAAGCTGCACCAGCACTTTGCTGCAGGTTATTAGAAGGCCAAGCTCTGCTCCACACAGGCTTGACATGCCTCTGGTGGCCTCAATGCACCTGCCACGTTCTTTCCTTCCTCCTGAAGATCTTCCTGCATATATTTTTCACCTTTAGCACTCTGCTATCAAACAGGCTCCCACATTTAGAAGAAATGTATTTTGGAGCCTGACGCCCTCTGCATGATCTCCATTGGAAAAGGAACTTGCAGCAATGCAGACTCACTTTTCCCCTGAGCACAGTCTGACACCAAAGCTCTCACTAAATGCTATTCCAGACTTTCTTTAGCTACCATCTGACCCTAAAAAAAAAAAAACACAACACATGACAAAATTTTGTCAGTGCTGCATTCCCAGTGATTGCTCTTACATATTTTTTTTTCTTCCTCCTTTTTGTTTGGTTTTCCTTCCTCCACTTTCACAGCACCAAAGAAACAAGGCACTCCCATAGCAAACATCCAGATAGATCACTCCATCCTCAGCCCCTGCTTCTGAGCATTGGGTTTTTGGGGTGATGGATGTAGCTCTACAATACAGCCTCATTCAGAAGTTCTGCAAGATAATTCATTCCCACAACTCATGACCTGAACTAAACTTTTAAAATCATACAGAAGGGAATATCTGACATTTAAATTGGAATCTGACAATTAAATTGGAAACGCAAACTCTGATTTTGTCCAGTTTTACTGAGAGATGCATTTTGCCCTCAGCAATCAGAAATTCACAGCACAGGCACAGGAGATTTGCTGCATCTCTTCTGATTTTCTAGGAGGAGCACAGTTAATTTGTGCACACAAGGCATCACTCAGTAGCAGGGCATGCAGAGTTAGTGCTTCAAAACTGAATAATAGAAGGCAGATCATTTCTTAAAGATTTCTGTCATCTGCACATGCATGACTCAGAGCTTTCAATCATCATCTAGGGGCTGAGATCACAGCACTGTGCATCTCTCCTAGCTTGGTGCCAGTAAGACGAGACAGCTTTTGTTGAAGATAGAGACTATGGGAAAAGTACCTGAGCAGAAGTCTTGGGTTCTTTCCAGCTCCTCCGACACAGCTGTACACCAACTCTGCGTTCACCAAGGGCTGAGAAACACGATTGCTCTGGACACTTGGGACACTGCATCTCAGCTTCAGAGAACAAACGTGCAAGGAAAAGACTTAGCATCGCTTACAGCTGCACACCTCCCAACCCGATCCCTCTGCCCGCGAGGGGTCACTGCCGCTCCAGGCTGCCATATCCCGAAACAGCAGCCGCCCCAGCAGAGCTGGCAGCAAAGCAGAGCCCAGGGTTTCACTACAGGCTTCATGGAAAACACTCAGGGCTGCTCAAGAAACTCCGGAATGACCAGAGATGATGATCAGAGCACAGCTTCTTCAGCTTTAAAAGGCTCAAGTAAAAAGTCTGCAGAACTTCCAGATGAAGGAGATTATCTATTTAGAACACTTACCAACAAGGCACAGCCAAACAGGTGGACATTGCAGCCAGCTCTCATGCAGCTCCTCTTGGGAGATGAAAAAGCAGCTTTCAGAGATTTGAAGGGTTTTGCTTGGCAAATGCTGGGGACAAACAGCTGTGCATTCACACGTGTAAGGTCATGCTGGAAGCTGGGCACAGTGGGAAGCTGTTATATACAGTTCTGTTGGAACCAAGATTGCAATACGTGTAGAAGTACACAGAACATACAGCAGTGAGGAGCTACACAGCCACCTGTGCTGTGTGCCCTGACTCCTTGTGCAGCAAGGCAGTGTTTGTGTGCACAGGTGACCCTTTTGGAAGGAACAACCTTAACAGAGCTACAGGAGAACTGCGCCCCCAAATGGCAGCTCTAGCAAGTTCCTTTGAATTAATTTTAGGACTCCTGGAATTAACAAACGCTATGTGAATTCCCACTTTATCCCAATTATGCAAGACTGACCTCCTCTGCTGCTGCTACTTCCAGGTTAACAGCACCATTCTGCTGCTTCCTACCCCTCTGGTGATCAACAAATGCTGTATGTGAAGTCACGGTGCTCCGTCCCCTCTGCAACAGAGCTGCAACAGAGCAGAGTGCACACAGCTACCAAACCAAGGCAGCTTGCTGCGACCCAGCTCTGTGCTGCCTCTGCCCAGCAACCCAAGGGCTTCCCTTTCAGGGAGAGATGCTTAGTCATTGTAAGCAGCTTTCCATTAGCACTGAAAATGTGAAGTCAGGCTGCAGAGACTACACAAAAAATTCAAGCCAGCAACTGACAAAAAAAAAAAGCCACCGCAGCAAGGACAGCTTGATGTGGGCAGAATGTAATTAGCTACACTGCTGGAGTGCAGCCAGCACAATCCATGAATTAAGGATGGCCCCAGTGTTGTGACAGTTTTTCATTTCAAATATAAATTAGGAGATTAATATGGGATGTTCCTGCTTGCTGTGGTTGAACAAAAATAAAGGCACTCACAGTCAAATAAAAATACCACATCTAAGACGTAGGAGTTGTTGTCCATGTGTTTTTCTTAGAAGACAACAATAGCAACAAGAAAATAGGCTGAACACTTACATTTTGGGGGTGCAACTTTACCGTAAATTGAATTAGAAGTATACACAGTATCACATGACAGAAAGCTCTGCTTAGAGCCTGTGGTTTTAACACAGCTGAGACAAGGATATAGAAGCTAATAAGAAGTCCCCTCAAGTGGAAGTCACAAGGTTTGCCAGCTTCTCTGATCCCTGTGCCAGAAGCCTTATTCAAATCTTCACACAAGTCATCTGAAGTGCAAAGCAGCAAAGAGACAATTCTGCTAAGGGGAAACGGTGTAAAACAGAGCTCAGGAGATCAGCTCTTTCATGAACATGAGACCACTCAACCACTACAGTTCAGAGTCATCTTCAGATTCTGGAAACATGCAGTAAAGCACCATGTTGTACTCCTCACCCTCCTTCAGTGAGCCAAGCAAAAGGTTTGCAATTTAAACCACATGCAGATGCTGACTGCTCAGGTCCCACACTTATGGGCAACTGTTACCATTTGTCTAACCAGGGAATCAGGCACATCACATCAATGGCACTTAGTTTTCAGTACTGTTTGCATCATGGGTTCCTTCCCAAGGTAGCAGAGAGCACATGGAATACAATTTCCAATGACACCCCACACTGTCAGAGACACACCACTACCCATCCTGGTTTGAACACTACCACACCAAAGTTAAGGTTCAAAGCATTGTTATATACTGGAATTCAAACCTACTAACTTTATTAACACAAAGTTGCTCAGGAATTACAGAGTAAGTGAGACAGGTTGAGCCCCAAATGTTTGACCATTGCCCCAACCACATTCCAGTCATTGTATCATATGGAGAAGCATTGTTTTGGCCAAGAGCACTATAAAAAGCACTTACAGAGAATACAGAGAGGCACTCTGCAGTGCAGTGATTTTTTAAAGCCATTTATTACCTATAATGCAGTAAAGTTAAAAAGCAGAACCACATCCTGCTTCTCCCCAGAAAGCGTGGGACTGACTGCTATCTTTGCTCTATGAAGAATAAACCTAAAGCTAAAAAGCCATCAAAAGTAATAGCTGGTCAGGAAAGCTGGAGTACGAGCTCAAAACATTTGCCTCATGACAAACCCTGCAAAGGTAGAGACGAAGTTTCAGAAGAGTTGCAACAGAAGGATACTCTGCTCCCTTCTGGCCACCCATCTTCTAAGTGCAGAACTTTTACAGACAGTTCGTAAAGTTGCACAACTCCCTGTAATTGGTGCAATTATGTTCATGTCTGGAAAAAAAAGAAGGCATACAGAAGTGTAGGCAACCAAAGTCATAGCTCGTGCTTTAAAAAAGGCTTAAGGTTTGACATCCCTGGATTACGACACCCAGCCAAGTCAGCAGGAACCACAGAATATTAAACAAAGCCAATCTCTTTGCGTCAGAATTAATGAAAAACTCTCATTCTCTGCACAGGTACTGTAAGTTTCAACTAGATTTTGGCAAGGACTTGCCTTCTTCTGAGCTTGTGGAACTCCACCCCCCCAACACACACACAATAACTGCTATCATCTTAGATTCGTCTTCTCCAGAAATCTCCCTTGTCTCACTCCTACCTAAACAAGGTAAGGAGAAATAGCTGACTGCATCACTTAAATCTAGTTCCTCTCCAGAAAGATCAGCTAAGTTCTTGGGTGCCTGACCACTGACTGCATATACTTGCCATACATACCTGCTGACCAGCAGCCAACAGAAATAATGACTACAGGTGAGTTGTTCCCACAGCAGGCTCAAAGCAATGTCATTACCAGCCTGACATCACCAGCCTGAGCCTGAAGCTAAGATGAATTCTCCCTAAAAGCAGCCCTTCTCCCAATAGTTAGTATTGCTTTTTTGCAGTGTTAGTAGCAGGAATTTTATTCTCAGCAATATTCATGTGGAAAGAAAAAAGGAATAGCAAATCAAATTGCAACATGTTTATCTTCTTTTCTTCATTTACGCCTGATGCAGTGGCCACATCAAGCATCCTGCAGCATTTCTTACATGAGCCCTCTGTTCCTTCAGACAACCCAAGCTCCCATGCAAAACAGTACATCTGGGCAGCAACCCAACCAGGATCCCCGTCCACCTCTCATGCCAGGGAGATCTGAAGCAGGCCCAACAATGTGTAGCACTTCTAGGGCAGTATACTTGCTGATTGCTTCCTTAACTATTGCTCACAACAACCAGCTAAGACACTGCCAAAGAAACACTCACAGCTGGCATCACGCAAGGAGAGAAGTTAGGGCAGCATGTTCAGTCTTCTCCTTTCTTCTCATTCACAGAAGGCAAGAGTCTGGGGACAAAGAAAGAGTCAGTGATGCAACTGCAACAGTACTAATGGAAACAGCTCTCAAGGGAGAAGAGGCTCAAAGCTATAAGCTGACAGATACTCTGTTCTTGACCACCAGTCATGCATTACAAATACTAGCAAGATAAACCAGTTTTCATGTCTGCAATCCTTATCTCAGTTTCCAAATTTCACACAACACTGTTCAGGCAAGGCAGCAGAACAATGAAGTGTATCCAGATGCTTAACAGCTTAAAGCACAAGACTGTTTGAACTCTTGCTGGGTTCACGTGATTGCACAGCTTTGCTCTTATGTCACATGTGGTGTTAGAAGGAGAACTCACTGAAAACACAACCATCTGCAGAAAAATAAATTAAAAAGGGAACCTATACTCACATGTATTAAAGCCATTTGACTTCCCTATCATCCATGTGGAACAGCCTGAGATGCTCTAGATGTGGTGTTATCTAGCAATCCTGCACTCCTCAGTTCCTGGAAACATCTGAGCATGTGAGAAGGCAACCTTCAGGGCAAAGCAGTTCCTCAACTCTTGCATCATAGCCTCACAAGCAGGTTATTACACCTAGGGAGTCTTGTGTGACACTGCAATATAAAGGTAAAATATGCTGTATGACCAGAAGTTCACTTTGGCTTTCACCAGCCTTCAATTTCTTTCAGTGAGGCTCTGGTAATGCTCCATACACATTCTGAGACATCTAAGCCTTCTCTGCCCTACTGTTCCCCACGTTAGGAATACCAAAAATTCAAAGATAAGCTTGCATTTGGATAGCAAGATGCAGCACCATGACAAAATTCTTTCCCGCTCTCTGATTCACCTTGCATCAAGAATCAGAAGCCTTCCATCTCACAAAGGAAGGCAGGAGCTTCAGCTGAAAGGCAAGACTCAGCAACGCCTCGAACTGAGAAGCAGATGTTAAATCCCAAGCCCCTGGCTGTCACTGAGCCTTCAGAATGGCGTCTGCCATACATGCAGTATGTACTGTGCAGACCCACAGTAACCCAGGACAGACCTGCTGGGTTTATCACAAAGTCACAAGATGAAGTTCAGTGGCTTCCATTGAACAGTATGGCAGTGTAGTTGACAGAGAGAGCCTGTGCCCTTTATGTACTATCAGAGGTGACTGACAAAGATGAAATGAAGAACTGCAACTGCACACCAATCAATCAGTACAGCACAGAACAGATACCCACCAGGCACTGCGATAACAGAACAGCGGCTCCATTCCCTGTGTCCCAGAAGACAGCAGCGATTAATTAACAAATCACTTCTTGACTGTAAGCCTTTTCATCCTGAGGAAGAGAGCAAACAATTTCAAAACATCAGAATCAAGACCTGACAACGGTCCCTTCCTTCTTGCCCTGAAAACATGTCCCACTCTGGAACGAGCTGTCTGTTTAAACAATGACCTAATCATCCATCCAGCATTTCCCATCAGAATCAGAACAAACCAGACTACCTCAAAGGCAATTACCAGGTCAGGGACAAGCACAGCTACAGAAGAGCAAAGCAATCAGGTACAGAAGAGGAAGATACTACTTCATCTCTCATCCTCCTCTGGGGAGAAATGAGACTGCAGAATTGGCTGTTCTGTAAAACTTTTTTGAGGCACTAAAAATTAAGCACAACAGGGCCAGAGAAAGATGCTTTGGGGAACAGCCTTGTATCTGTGCAGCAGGCAGTGGTCCTGCTTTTAATTTTTCAAATCATTTGACATCCCCTCTGCTGCTTCTCACCTGTAGGAGTTCCATTGCTTTAGGAAAAGCACAAATGAAACACTCAGTTGAAACTTTCTACTGCTGTGGGAGGGCATGGATAGCTAGCTTTGAAGTCTCACAGGGAAACCAAGCAGTCTGGCTAGTCTGGAGCTGGAAGAACAGTACAAAAATGCTGGTCAAACAGCTGAGGACCTCTCTTGGTTCAGCAGCTTGTGCAACACCAAGTCTTTTTCGTCTCTCTTTAGTCCAAGTATCAGGCAAATTTACTGTTATTGTGTACACAGGGACAGCATTCTGCTTTATGAATTGAGACTGGAAACAACGACAGCATAGAGCAGGTTAGCATGCTGGAGTACAATCTCAAGGCCAGGGGTGTCACTGGAAGCTTACACATCACACTTTTACCTGTATTTACCAGGTAAGGGCTACAAATTTCCCCTCATAAGGCAGTTTCCCCTTTAGACTAGATAACATAAGACTTGCTTCACTTCTCAGTGACCTCAGTGTTACCCTGTGGGTGACAAAGCAACAGGAACAAGTTTGCTGGATCACATAACAGTACACTGAATTGGCTTGTAAAGAAAGCACCACTTTAAAACAAGCTGAGGGGTGTGGAGGATGGTAATTCTCTCCCGTTACGGAAATACTGCATTCCAAGAAAGGTAAAAAGTCCAGTCAGGTAAGATTTGCAGAATCACTGTCATCACTGAGCTATGTGATACCATAAGCTGCATTTCATCAAGCACATTTATTTCAAGTTCACTCCCAGCATTGTCATCTTCCTTTTGTCAAGGGGAGTTTTAAGCTGCAACTGACCCACTCACAAGCCTTGAGCTGATACCTGAACAATTACCCAGGGTTTTTCTGAAGGTGGAAACAACTGCTGGAAGCTGATGCAAGCAGATCCTCTCTCACTGGGGATCCAAGTACTCTAGTTTTAAGGCAAAGCAAAGCTTCAACTTTCACCTGTGAAACTTCTGGGTGAAACTCAGCAACAGGAGGAAATCCAAATGAAAAGATTAAATGACACTTATCAAAGTTCAGAAATATTTATGTTAGAAGACACTCCTGCACATCAGCCAGCTCAACGGCCCACCTAAAGCAAGGCTAATTTCTAAACTAGATCAGGAGACTCAATCTTTTCGTACAGGTATTTCAGCAATGTTGTCCATTTCTACACTACCGAATCAAAAGCTGTGTCTAGCTGAGCCTATTCTGCTGACTAGGATGAACTGCTATGCCAAGAAAAACCATCTTCAAGCTGCAGCAAACCTCCAGCAGCGGCTGCAGAACAAGAGCAAATTCTGTTCCATCTCCTAAAGCTGCTTGGCTTTGCTATTACCAGCCTTCAGGTAGAAGAGTAAACATCTTATTTCTCCAAACAGTTTTCCTGACTTGTAATAAAAGACAGGTTCCTCTTTTTAAGATAATACATTTGATAAATTCTGACTTTGATTTAACACATATCCCTACAATATGCAGATCTTGGGTTTGGGGTTAGTTTCTCCTCAATTTTACAAATTAGTTTTCATTATAATATCTCCTACTGTAACACCTGAGGGATGCAAACAAGCTGTCCATGAAACAGTTCTACGTTACAACTCCTACAATGCTTGCTCAACACAATCATACTTCTGTCACGTCTCATCTCCCAGCTTCCTACAGAATATTACTCCCCCAAGTACAAGACAAACTGCTTAACACCTCCCGTTTGCCTTCAATTAATCGTACAGGAGAAGCTTTCCTTGTGAGATGATGCACTGACAAAGCCCTAGAGGAGAGATTTACCTGTTCCTTACAGTTCTGTAGGAGGTGATCCTGCAGGCAGCAGCACCCCAAGTCCATCGGAGCTCTGCACAGACTCCAGCCTCCTGCTGCCGGCGCTGGGACGCTGTGCTCCAGGGAGGTGCAGACACCTGCTTTGTTATTCAGAGCCACTGCTAACTCAGGCAGTTCCGGCTTTCTTGATAGAGCTGCAACTCCACCCCACCTTCTGCCACCAGGCCAGCCTCAAGGCTGTAGGAACACGGGGCAATAGCTTCGCAGTGAGTCACAGGCTGTCTGAAACAAAGCAGAACTAAGGGAAAGCAAAGCACACTACCAACTCCTTTCTGTAAAGCACAAAGACAGGCAAAAATTGCCCAGGATGGGTAAGCGGCAGGCAGATCAGCGGGCATAAGGCAGAGCCCCAGCCTGCCGCATTCCAAACCCTCCTGGTTCTCAGCTGGCCACTCAGCTCAGAGCAACACAGCCTCTGGTCACAGGCTCACTTACTGCAGCTGAGCAGGGAACAAGCTGCAGTTTTGTAGCCCCTGATCACGTAGAAGCCACATCTGCCTCAGCAGCTTCTTTTCACAAACCTTTCTGCACTCTGAGAAACTGAGATATAGTAGAGAAAATTGAGGAAAGCAGCGCAGGTTACATTACTACGACCTACAGGACAGCTGTGTCTATCAGCCAGAATCACCTCACCTCATCCATCCAGCAATACAGACACTAATGCTCTCACAGCATGGGGCACTTAAGGATACCCCTACGTTTCCTTCAAAGTAACAATCTTCTCCCACCCCTTAAAAGGCATGGGAATTAAGATCTACCACATCTCATCCAAATCAATCTTCACTTGCATGTCTCGCTGGGCCTTGCTAATCTCACTGGCTTATGCAATATTAAATCCCCACATTAAAACAAAAAAAAAGCCATGGAATTAACATACACCTTGCTTACTGAGCTCCTCCACATACAGTGCAGGAGAAACCCTCCCACACACCACGCACTGGACTTGTACCTTCCTCCACAGCAGAGTTAAGCAATTCATTTGCCAGGTAGGAGCAGACACTACAGCAGCCTTCCAGTTCCTAACGGGGGCTAAAATAAAGCAAGAGAGGGGCTGCTCCCAGGGAGCACAGTGACAGGGCAGGGAGTAACAGCTTTCATCTAAGAGAAGGTAGACTTATATTAGAAGTAAGGAAGAAGTTCTTTGCTATGCAGGTGGTAAGGCTGTACCCAGAGAAGCTGTGGATGCCCCACACGCAGTTTAGATGGGGCCATGGCAGAAGGGTTGGAACTGGATGATCTTTAAGGTCCATTCCAGGATTCTGCGCAGCTTATCTTTTGATTTCACTTTTCTTTATCTGTGAAGCAAAATGCTCACTATTTCTGCATCCTAGTATGTCCTGCTCTTCACCTCCAAACACCATTTAAGGAAGTTTCCTTGCCTTGTTTCCTCTTTCCTGAAGAAGCTCAGAGATGTCTAGCACTCATATCTTCACTTCAATGGCAATCTACTTAAAACAGCCCAGTCTCACCGTCAGGACAGCCAGCACCTGTGTTATCAAGAGAACTGACACACCTTGGTGTTTCACACACTGAACTTCCCACATATTATCTCTTCCCTTTCCTTTACACAATGCTCCCTCACTCCCAAAGTTTATCTAACTTAAACAAAACCCACACAAATTGAATTTCATCACCCAAAGACTTTAGCAGAAGCTAACATATACGCTCCATGACCATTTGTCAAATGCCATAACACTGGATCTTCCTGCATGGTATCTTAGAGAAGGGCTTCACAAATCCGCTGTTTTGGAGCTTACAGAAACAGCTCACAGCTCTGCTAGCAGCTGAGTTAGCTCTCACATCCACACAAGTGGCATTAATCTCTGGAAACGTGGCACGGGCAGAATGCTCTCCAGCAATGACTCCTGAAAAAGACCATCTATCCAAGGCTGTAATACTAAAACAGCTCCTGGAAGTAAGGTTGCTCCATCCCCTGGCTGGCTCCATTCTGCAGCAAAGCAAAGCACACCAGGCTGTCCTGGAGTCCTGCTTATTCAGTATGTGAGGTGGGCAGAGCACAGTGCACTGCAGCTCTCAGGGCTGTGCACCACACCTAAGCACCCGTGACTCATTAACCAAGCAATGCATGAGCATTAGCTATAGATCATAAACCCGGATCCAAGAGCTGTCAGCAGCTCATGCCTACTCCACATGCCAGTCAAGAAGCCCGTGGTTTTACAGCTTAGGTAGGCCTGGGAAAGACAAGGTTAACCAAAGAAGTTTCTGACGTGCCCCCTGCAATTCCATCTGCTGGGACAGAAGAGACACCGCCAGAGTGACTCACAGCACACATTTCACTTTGTCACAGCAGTTCTGTCCTTTCCTGCTTGTCAAGCACAGCTTCCTCCTTTGCCAGAACAATGAAGGATCTCTCAATCTCCTGAACTGGCCTCTTTCCTCTCTTCCAAACATAGACAGACAGAAGTTGCCATCATCCTCTATGCAGAAAGGTGCTCCCCATCCACCACCAAACCATGGGGGAGATGTGAAGACCACGATTGCTTTCAGCACTTTCTGGCTTTCCCATCTGTGCGAGGAGATGAGATGCACACTGATAGCAAGGCTGGGGAAGGGCACTGTGCTGCCTGCAGCACAGCTAGGGAAGCTACCCTAGAACGGCAATTGTAACCAAGCAGTACATGTTCCCTTTCGGCTCCTGCAAAATGACCCATCTTATCTCTAGTCTACTAAATGAAAAATTAAAAAGCATCCCATGCCACATGAAAGTTATTAAGTCAATAATCAATCAAACTCTCTTTGGCTAAGTGGGAAGTCCAAAGCACACTTAGACACAGCATATAAAATACCAAAACACACTGCACAGATCAGAGGTACATCTTGCTTACAAATTACACGATTTTGTATCATGGGTGAAAAAGTTAAGCATGGCCCTCTTTTCAAAATACAGAGGAAAAACATCACAGCCATCCACCTCACTGAGATGTCCCAGATAGGCAGAATGGGAAACGCCACCAAATACCAGAGCACAGCCCTGTGCTGGTGCACACAGATGTACTTCAATGGGCTCCAATGGGCTCGTACTGGCTTACCTCTGATCTGAAATGACTCCTGGTGCCTTCAATTCTCATCTGAGCCACTCCTTTCCAGCATGCCTTCACCTCCCGTGTAATCCAATAGCTACCTAGATACCAGACAATACCACTGGGCAGTTTGCACAGACACCTGAAACTTCCCAACAAGCAGGTGAGCCATGCAGAGGACACCCACAGGCAGGTATGGCTAAGGTGCTTTTGCTGCTCAATAGAAGGATCAAACGGCACACAGAAGAGCTCTCTTTCCCCACGTTACCCTTTCCATTACAAGATGGTTATGAGAACAGCCTACAGAGCCAGCAGCAGCACTGGAAATAGGACGGAGAGAACAGTTGGTGCTCAGCGAGAGCAGCACAGCTGCCAGCTCCCTGCAAAGAGCAGGGCACAAAACAGGCCACGACTGCTTGTTTGGGTGCTGGTTCTTCCTGGGACCCCTTCACCGGGAGCTCCATTCCTGCAGGCAAAGGGGCTACGCAAAGGGAAAGCAAAAGGAGTGCAAAGTCAACACCACACCCCAGTAACAAATCAGCTCATCAGCTGCTCCTGCGCGACCCCAGGACCTCGGGAAGCTCACCTCCGCGCCGCTCACATCCCGTGCAGCAGAGCAGGCGGGCAGCGCGGCACCGCCCGCACCTGGGGCTCGTCCGTATCGAGCGGGGCGATCCCTGCGAGCGCACGGCCGGGGCCGGGCCGAGGCCCGACAAGCCCGGACAAGTCCCACGGAAGCCTCTCCCCCAGGCTGCCGGCTCGCACAGCTCCAGCCCCGCTGCCCGCCCCGGCTCACCGCGTGGCAGCGAGGGCTGGCTTTCATCTCCCCCGAGGAAAGCCACGTGGGGATGAATGCGGGACTCTCCCTTAGCAAAGCAACGTAACGCAGCTCCGATCACAGCGCGGTCCCTGATGACACTACTGGGACTCGTGCCGCATCCACCGGCCGCAGGGGGGCGAAGGCTTCCCCTGCCAGCCCGCCCCAAACTGCGATCCCGGCTCCCGTGCAAGGCTGCAGGAGGGCCGGGGCACCTCGATCCCCAACAGCTGTTAATTGCTGTTGCGCAGTGGATGCAAGAACGTGCCGCATCTGCTTCCTCTCAACCCTGTTGCTTTCAGTTCCTCCAGATGAACCCTTCGCTACAATGTTGGTCTGCAGGCTGCTCCGAAGGTTTTATTTATTAAAAAATTTGACAAGTCACTCTCTTGCAAGCTCAGCTAGACCCTGTCAGGCTCCACTGATTGAGCTCTGCTTCCCCAGCCCTGCACAGCCTCTTGGTCTCAGTCTGTACATTAGGAAAAGAAGTTTGCAAGTTCCCTATTTTGAAGAGGGAAAGAATAAAAATGTTTATAAAACAGGCTCCAGCCCAGACATTTACCATTCTCCCTTAGATTCTAAGTCCTCTTGGCCAGAGTGACAAGCGTAGGGGGAAAAAAAGTCTGTTCTAGAAGCAAGAAAAGGGCTGAATGTAGGAGAATGTTTGTGCCCAGCTGCCCTGAAATGCCAGCATCTCTGTTAGCAAGGCAATGGTTTGCCAAAGAATGAAAAATGTCTTATCTCTGCCTCTAAGCTAACAATTCCCACAGTTTTTATATAAACAAGTACTTACTTGTTGGCATATTTACAAACAGCAATTGACTGCAGCTTCAATTTAGAAAGTGCCACAAACACCAAAGCTTTCACCAGAGGTTGAGTGCCCCCACTCAGCAAGGCAGTGTCTAGCAAGAGCTGGTTCTGATAGCCAAACTGAACACAAAGCTTGCAAAAAATTAAAAAGGCAACAATAGCTAGAAAGATGAGAGGTGGCTGAGGGAACCACACTGCATTGAGACAGCTTGGATTAATCTCTACTCTTGTGTGCATGAAGTTATCCCAACCATTCTGTGCTGTGATCCCCTGGTCCTGTACAGCAGCCCAGCCATTCATCCCTGCATCGCCTCACCCAGGCTGCAGCTGCAGAGGAGCATCCCCACCTGAGGCTGAGCCAGCTCCAGGCTGCATGCTGGTTCCTTGGGGTTGGCATTATGGTATCACCACAGGTTAAGGCAGGCCTGGAAGCTACCTCTGAATGCAGGGTTTGAAGCCAAATGCTTGAGACTTGGCAAGAAGAGGTGGGTATTAATCTGACATAACCAAAGGAAGTCTAAATGCTGTGAATACACTTTATTTGCAGCCACCACAGAACAAGGGAATTCTGATGGCTGCCCGCACAGTTCAGACACTTCATGGTTGAATAGAAAGATTAAGCTTAACAACATCATTAAAGTGCACATATCTGGAAGCCAGCAATCCAAGGCTTCTCACAGGCATGCTGGCACCATCACTGAACAGTTTTTGAAGGCAGATTGGCATCCTGCCCCACAAAGGGCAACTGCTGCCTCTAACCCGAAAGAGCTGTTGCCACTTCAGAGCCATAATCCTTCCCAGGCTCATACAGGATGGGTCTCACCAGTGGAAGCTCTCCAGAGCTCAGAAAGGAGCTAACAGTAGTTACAGCTCAGCTTACACTTGATGAGAGTTTAAGGCCCTGTGACTCTTAAGAAGCACTTGAACCCATCTCACTGACGGTGAGTGCTCTTGTTGCTAAACCAAGCTGCCTTCAGGCAACCTGCTTACAGGGTAAGAAGCACTTCTCAGAGAGAAATGCTGAATGCTGCTGCACAACTGCAGCAGATGGAGGCAGAAAAACCCCAGCTGAAGGCCAACTGCAGAGATGCAGCTTCAACTAAACAGAGAAACTCTGACAGGACAATAGGGACTGAAATTCAGTAGCTAGCCAATAGTGGTTTATTTAATCTTCAAATGAAGGTGATTCACCTTTCCAGCACTCTGGTTCAACCCAGCAAGCTATTAGACTAGCTAAATGATTTATCGCTGCTCAGCTGTCAGATTACTTCAGTGGATCCCTTCCATTCTCAAAGAACTACGATACAAAAGGAGATTGACCTGAACTCATACATTACCTGCACAGTTATCCCTAATCACAATATCATGCATGCATTAAAAACTTCTACTGCGTACAGATGTTGGCAGTAGGTTTTAATGCTAGCTAAGAAAGATACGTAAATACAGGGAGATTACAGGGAGATTACTCTCTCCACAGAGTGCAGCCAGTTTGTTGATCTCCATCCTGTATCCAAGACATGACTCACCACACTGCCACTTCACCTGCCAAGGGCAAAACATCTCTCCACACTATCTCAGTGTTTTCTTTAAGATCTCAACCGCTCCCCATCCACTCCAGCCTGTCCCATCTAAAGGTACTATAGATTCAGAAGTCATGCTATCTCTCCCCTTGAAAAGGACATTCCTTTAACATATATGCAACACAGTCTTCGGTAAACAGGTAAAGAATTCAGGCTTTCCCCAAGATTCATTTCTGGTAAGCACAGCAGGACTCTGCAAACGTCCACTTCTGCCAAACATAGAAACCATTTGCCTTAAATGCAGCATTGGCCTGGTAATAGACATAAATATTGCATGTACAATAGCATTTATTGTGTTCACAGTTGTATTTATTATATAAAGAATTCATGCCTACTCAACAAGCCCTTTGGCATTGTCTCATGAGCACTTCCCAGAAGCTAAATCTAACATGGCTCAAGGTCTTCATACAAACCTGACAAACCACAACAACCTGTTTTACATCTGCCTTTGTGAAAATATCTTCATTGGAGTCTAAGTCAGGAAACTTCAGCAACAAGTGAATGAGAAAGGCATCTAATTGCAGTGTCATCTGCTTGAATAAGTGCCCTCAGTTTATCTCGCCATACTTCAGCAGAGTTGGATTAACTGTGTGCACAAGCTCATAGCCTGTGTTATCAGGAGTTAACACAAGTATCAGATCAGTGAGGGTGTGCTAGCCCAACTCAGATACCCCTTTATTTGCCATTGTCTGAGAGCATGAAGACATCTCATCTGCCAGCTGGACTTGAAATAACAGCTGGAGTCTAAACATATCATCACTTCACTCACTGCTGAAGTTTTGCTGTAGCAATTGAGTGGATGAAGGCTGGAGACCAGGACTCATTACCCACCCAGAACTTGAACATAAGCTAAGAGAAACTGCCAGAGGAGGACAACCCAATGACCTGACAGCTCAGATACAGATCCAGCTCTCTTGAGCTCCTTTGGAGGCTGTTTCTCCATAGGCTGTCTGCTGGTGCAGGTGCACATGCGTGCATTTGCATACTTTGTAAAGGACAATTATGGCTAATGAGATGGGGGCAAAGTCTCTTCAGTTGTACAGCCATCAATCCAGAGCAAAGTGACTGGTATCAGTGAATACACTGCTACTCAGCAGATGCACTGCAGACACAGCCTCCACCACTACCCTTGGAACAGTGCAAACATGAAGCCTACTTTAAGCTGAGGAAACATTTAGTAATTCTTTCAATCTAAGTAGCAGCTTCTACAAAGAGCATCTGTTAGGGATGCTAGACAGCTGTTCAAAGTGAAGCAGTCTGCTGTGCTGCAGCAGAAAGCTAAGCTAGCAGGGGAGAAAAAGGCATGGAGTAGCACAGTGATCATTTCTATTATTCAATTTCCTGCAAGCCTAAAGGAACCTTTCCAACAAGCCATGCCACATAGTTCTGTTCTCCACACTATTTCACATAATGCCAGCTAAAGAACAAGCTTACCACTAAAGAAAGCAGATTCAGGATTAGAAAGACCTACATCCTTTCTCTAGCTGCACAACTGCTAACACAGATTTACAAGATCTAAAACTGCATGGAAGCAGCAATAGCCTTGCAACCCAAGAAATGTCCCTGTGGGAAATTACAGCTGCACCTATAGTCTGAATAAACTCCCATGTCCTCTGCATATAAACATATTCCTATTTTCAATTCATAAAAATCTAGAGGAGAAAATGAATCAGATGAAGAGCTGAAACATCCAACAGTGAGCATCTGACATTAGAAGCAAACAACTGAGCCTGCAATCAGGTATCAGTGAGTGGAGAGGGGCAGCTCCCAAAGAGGTCAGCACTGTTCCTCTCTGTCTTTGGCACACAGGCTGCTCTGTCACCCTGAGAGCATCGTGCCCAGGCAGTTTTGCTTTAAATTTTACATTCATGTTTCAAGTCTGTGTGGGTTCTAGTTATAGGCAGACAAAAATAGGCTTGCAACAGTCACCCTCTCTGTATTTCCGGGCCAGTAAGTGTTTTCTTTAAAGAAAAGGTTATGTGAAGAATGAACAAAACTTTCACCTAACTGCCAAGGAACAAAGCCAGTATGAAACAACTTTTTTTTTTTGGTCTTCAGAGCAGAGGAAAAAAAAATCACATAGAACAAGCACACCTGCCAATGCTGGGTTTCCTTTTGCCTCACATACAATGAAAAAGTAACAAAATGAACTGCTGGAGCTCCGGCAGCAAGAACAGAAAGACTGTGATGAGGCAGGAGCCTACAGAACTCAGTGAGCCTCCTCAGTCCCTGTGTCCTGGCTGCCCACGCCTGGCTGCACAGATGGTACTGCAATAGCCAGCTGTGCTGGGTTTGAAAAGACAAGTAATCAGTGAAGATGGTGGAGGAATGTATG